GCTAAGCAAATCGAGCAGAGTCAGCAGCATAAGCAGCGGTGATCGCGGCTTGTTGTGTGCGGAGGGTGTTAGAGTGCTCGTGTTCCTCCAGAGCGATCACGTAGTCAATATGGAGGACGAGGAAATTGCGACGCTGAGTGACGAAGAGCTGCTCATTTTCAGCAGTTGCGGCGCGAGTGTTGGTACCAACGAGTACCACGAGGGGGGCGGGTTCCTCCATGGGAAGGGGAATGAGATGGGGGGGGAGGGGGGGGGGGGGTTTACAAGGGTGAGGCGGCGAATCCCCAAGGTCACCATTTGGGAGACTGAGCATGATGTCTAGGAGGCGAAAAGGCAGAACGTATGCATTGCCGGGGATGTGGTGAAGGTTGCTGATGAAGGAATACCAGTTGCTCGCAGAATTTTTGGCAGCACGCACGAGGTGATCGAGGGTCGAGACGTCATTGGGAGGCCGCCATTGGTGGTGAGGAGAGGGAGGAAGGCGGCGGTGGGCAGACCCGCGGAGGGCGGGAGAGAGCGACGGCAATGGCGGGCGGTGCTGCTGCTGCTGCTGCTCTTTCGTCTACTACTGCTGCTGCTCTTTTGTCTACTGCTGCTGCTCTTTCGTCTACTTCTACCACTCCTGCGGCAGCTGCAGCGACGGACAGGTGGCGACGAGCAGGTTCACGCGAGGAGGTGAGTAGGGAGCTCATGCTACAGGACAGGTAGGGCACATGGGCAACCGACGAGCAGGCAGTGCAGGTATGTGGCAGCTGGAAGAGCTGGCGCAGGCAAAGTGAAGGGCGGCAACTAGAGATTGATGGGAAAAGATGGCTAGTAGCAGATGAATTAAGAACATAGAGATTTCAGCAGCACTTCGTTATGACATCTAGGAAAGTGCGCGACCTTCGGAAAACGATATGTGGAAATCCATTTGGTGAAACAACCTGAAAATCAACGAAGTTGTGGCTTACGAACCGAGATTTCCAATAAAAGTAAAAAACCTCCATTCGGAGCGAGCTATGGCATTTGGCGCACTGCGTGCGTAGACATTTCAGCAGCACTTTGTTATGACGTCCAGGAATGTGTGCGACCTTCATAAAGTGATATCATGTAATCCAGTATGCGAAATGATTCAAAAACCAAAGTTGTCTTAGCTTACAAGTAGCTTAGAATAACTTGATTCCGTCAACTAGCGAACATGCTATGCCATTTGGTGCACTGTGGAGCTTTGAAAATGCAGCCAGCAGAGAAGTAGTAGTGGCGAGAATGAAAGGCGGCGGCTAGAAGCGGCGGCGAGAACGAGAGGCAGCAACTAAAGACTAGTGGTAAAGATGGAGGTATCATGTAAGAAACAAAAACCGTTGGTTTTTTTTTATGAAGCAAAGGAATTACATAGGAAGAGAGATGAGCTAAGAAGGGAAAGTTGGTAGGGAAGGGGGGGGGTGAGGACCAATTACAAGGGAGGGGGGATCATTCCAAATGTGGTTGACCACAAGTGGGAGGCGGTCCTAATGTGATGGACCACAAGTGACTTGAGAAATCCACTTGTGGTGCCCCGGCAATTGTGGTTCCTGTGTATGGGGCCTCCAACCACAATTGGGTTGGATTCACACTCCAACATATATGTATACCCACAACTTGGGGTGTACACACAATCTACACAAATATCATAGCATGGTGTCTTCTAACAAAGAAGACCAAAAGAGAGGGGGGGGGGGGGGGGAGGGGGGGGGAGAACATGGGTGGATGGGAAAACCAGGGGTGTATGGGAGAAAATAGGGGAGGGGTAAGCACGGAAGGAGGGATTGGGATGAAAGGAAGGATTATTGGCAACAAAATAGGAGAGATCTTTTGGAAAGCATTGGACAATATCTTACTTGGCCTATACTTTTCCGTGAAGGATTTTGGCTCTTGTCGGCCCACTACGGCACCGTTTTGGCCAGGCCTTGAGATCTTCAGGTCGTAGAGCTCGTATGTGATGATGCGGCCGGTGGTGTGGATTTTGTTGCACTTGTCTTTCTCCGTCACGAGTTCCACGCTCTTGATGTTGCGGGGCCCCGTGAAACCAGCACTGGCACATAGAGCTGTAGGGGGACGGGGCCGGCTGTGGGTGGCGGGCCAGCGAGGAGGCAAGGCCGACGGGGCCGATCGGGCGGCAGGGCTAGCTAGGAGGCGGGGCCGTCGGGGCCGATGAGGTGGCGGGGCCAGCTAGGAGGCATGGCCGACAGGGCAGATGGGGCGGCAGGGCCAGCTAGGGGGGGCGGGCCGACGAGGCCGATGGGACGGCGGGGCTAGCTAGGAGGCGGAGCCGACGAGGCCGATTAGGCGCGAGCAGATAGGGGGCTGGAACACACGAAGGTGGGCCTCAGTGCAGGCAGCATGCCAGGTAGCGTCGAGCGTGCGCAGGTGCGTGACCAGGTCAGCGACAGTGAGGAAAGACGCGTGATCAGGGAAGAGCATGGGAAGGATCAGTCGACCGACAGAGGCAGAGGACGGGGTGGAATAACGCGCGGCAACAACCTCTAGGAACTCCTGCGCAGCGGGGGCACTCTGACAGGGGGAGGGCATGGCAATTTGTGAGCTGTGCGACATCGTCACGCGACAACCAGACAGCATGGGCAAGGCAGCAGCAGCGGCGGACTCATGGTCAGCAGACGTGGGGTCAGCATGGAGAGCGACAAGGGGGTCGGGGCATGGGAGCGTACCGTCAATGTGGACGGCCAAGGAGTGGCCGTCCTGCCGCTGACCAGTGAGGTGACGGCGGAGATCGACAAGCCATGAGTCGAACTCAATTGGCTGACCCTCCGCGTCAAAGCGCAGCACGGAGTCTGCCATGAAGGCCGCTGCAGCCGCGAACAGATGGGGACGGAGCGACGATTGCAATGGGAAGACGTGCTGTATGGTAGAGTGCGGTGGAGTGCGGTGGGGCGCCGTGCAGTGCGGTGGAGCACGGTGCAGTGCGGTGCATTGTGGTGGAGCGCGGTGCAGTGCGGTACTGTGCGGTGTAGCACGGTGGGGCATGGTGCAGGACGGTGGAGAGGGGAGGTGAAGCGGGCGGGGACCGGGAACCACGACGGCTGGGCAGCAAGGAGACGGGGCCGCGGGGCGGCTGGGCGACGGGGCTCGGGGCGGCTAGGCTACGAGGCCGCGGAGGAGCGGGGCGACGGGTCGCGGGGCGGCTGGACGGCGGGGCCGCGGAGCAGTGGGGAGACGGGGTCACGGGGCGGCTGGGCGACGGGGACGCGGGGCGGCTGGACGACGGGGCCGCGGAGCAGCGGGGCGACGGGTCGCGGCGTGGCTGGGCGACGGGTCCGCGGAGAAGCTGGGATACGGGGTCGCGGGGCAGCTGGGCGACGGGGCCGCGGGGCGGTTGGGCGAGGGGGCCGCGGAGCAGCGGGGCGACGGTTCGCGAGGCAGCTGGGACGACAGGGCCGCGGGGCGGCTGGACAACGAGGCCGCTGGGCGGCTGGGCTACGGGGCCACGGAGCGGCTAAGCGACATGGCGGCTAGGCGATGGGGCAGCTAGGCCATGGGGCGGCTAGGCAACAGGGCGGCAGGGCCACGGGCGGCTGGGCGTTAGGTGACGGGGCCGCGGGGCCAGCGGGGCGGCTAGGCGCTAGGTGACGGGGGGCCGACGGGGCCACGGGCGGCTAGGAGCTAGGGGGCGAGGCCGCAGAGGGCTAAGCGCTAGATGACGGGGCCACGGGGCCAGCAAGGCAACGGGGCAGCGGGGCCCGTGGGGCAGCTAGGAGCTAGGCAACGGGGTAGGCTAGTACCTAAGGCGGAAGCGCAGGTGGGCGGGGGGGACCTAACCTACTCATGATACCATCTCAGAGTTAGAAAGTTGACTAGAATGAGAGGATACTGGAGTATATAGATAGTGTGTTGTACTCTCTATGGCAAGACCCTATGTAGTCTACTAAATATACACAAATATGTTTGACAACACGCACTACAGTATAATATTCACGCATCATTGGCTTACCGTATTCTCCCGGATACACGCACCGCCGGCTAAAACGCACCATGGTGCGTATATCCGGAGGGGTGCCACATCGGATGTGTCAGTTATACGCACCCCCCTTTTGCTGAGGATCTAATCCCTACACGCACCCCCCTATTTTCCGCGCGCTGATTGCGGTTGACCGCGTTTTTCGTCAGATTCTAGTTGAGATTCGCCTATCCAATCGTTCCTTCATACGAAATCGTTCCGCGTCACCTCGCCACGCGAAATCTCATCAGCACTACTATGCTGTTGTGACCCTTGCTCGCTGGCAACGTGCAGCAATCCTGCCTAGCTCGCGTGCCAAACTGCTCTCGAGCAGTTTTCGAGGGACTGTTCCGGGTGTTCCCGTTTGGGAGCACATCCACCCAATTGGAAATTGTTCGAGCTACATTTTCATGCTAGTTTCTGAATATTCCATAAATCCCTTTATTTCTGTTGTGTGATGTCATCATATGCTATCACATTCTGTCTGCCTCCCATCCCATATTTTTTCAACTTGCATGTGTGGTTTGAACGTGTGCAAGAATTTGTGTGTGATGTGTTCTGGAGTTTGGGAATGTGTTTTGTGTTATTTTGTTTGAGCAGGTTTTTTGTGATGATAGATCTTGAGAAGATCTTTCCGACGCAACGAGAATCCCTTCAATCGGAGCAAGAACGCGAAAGCTATGAAGATTCAAAGTTCATGAGCTTGCGTTACAATTGCGGCGGTTACAAAGTGAAGTTGTGGGGTGACTCTATATGGAGTTGGGACCTTTGGGGGTTTGGGAAATTTGTCACTCACTGTAACAGCTGCAAATTGGTTGGGAACAACCAAGCTAGGTTGGCAAGGGTGGCCAACTTGGATGGATTGGTTGGGAAGGGACAAATGTCAAAGTTGGGGTTCCTATAGGGAGGGAATCTTTGTGCTTATGGGGTTTCCTTGGTTGGGGACTCTCTTGGGACCTTCCCTCTCATCCCTCTCTTCCTATCCCAACCTTTCTCTTGCTCCTTCTAATTCCTTGTGAGATTCTTGAACTTTGATTGAACCTTTGAGATTGAGTTAAGTTCTCCTCCTACAGCTTACCCCCTAGTGCGTCGAAAGCCATAGCGTCGCGAATACTTTATCAATCAACGTGATTCAAATTGGGAACGGTAGCTGAGATCAAGAGCTACAACATATCCAAGTTTCGCGACATTCCAACGGCTAGTGTTTTGTCGACGTCGTTTCTTGTGAAGACGACTTTTCTGTCCAGAATTTCGGATTTATATTTTGAGTAATTCTAGCTCCTAAGTTCACCTAGACTCTGTCCTTAATTCTAACAAGTGGCATCAGAGCGATATTAAGGACATTGAGAGGAGTCTACAGAAGTGTGAAGACCCTTCTAGACCCACCATGGCCTGTGGGTGTGCCTAAGTGGTGTTCTAAAGGTTGGATGTGTCTTCCGCTAAGGGGAAACTCTGCCGAAATTTCGTGGACGCCGACACTTGTGAAAATATCGAGGGAGCTGAGTGTGGACAGCAAAGGGGAGCTGAAATTCGTCATTTCTCAAGGAGAAGATGAATGAGAGAGGAGGAGATGCTAATGGAAGAGGAGCTGTACCTGAGAAGACAAGTGAGCCGCCGCCATCAAAAGTTGAAGCTTTGGATGGCTCCAACTATGAGGAATGGAGCGGACGGATGAGGAGTGCCTTCAAACGCTACAAGCTACTGAAGATTGCTGTTGGGGAAGAGAAGATGCCGGAAGAAGGCGAAGCACGTGAACGGTGGATTGAGAAAAGCACGGTGCTTTTCGACCTCATCCTTCAATCGGTCAACAAGGAGATGTTCGAGCACATCAAGGATCTTGTGGAAGCGGATGATTCGGGTCCAAGGGCGTGGAAACTACTACGCGATGTGATTCAGCCCAACACTCTCCTGATGGTGATCGTGCTCGAGAAGGAACTTGCTGCCATCTCCATGCGACCAGGGGACGATGTGAAGCCGGTCCTTGACAAGATCAAGGACACCTATGCAAGGATGGCAGCAGCGGGCAGCAGTGTATCTCAGCTGCAGCAGTGCACCAAGATCATCTCGGTGTTGGACAACTCTTGGGACAACCTCATCCCCACCCTCAACTCTCAGCAAGATCAATGGACACCTGAGTGGCTAAGGCAGCAGATTCTGCAGGAGGACTTCCGCAGACGCCATGTGGGAGGCGGTGCTGCCACTAAGACTGCTGAGGGGTATGGAGCTGCAGGGCGCAGCAGAGGAAGAGGGGGTTGGAAAGGCCGAGGCCGTGGGAGGAGCTTTGGCAGAGGTAGAGGCCGAGGTGACTATAATGAGGGGCATGGGAGCTCTAGTGGCAGGGGGAGTACCAGAATGGAGGGCACGTGCTGGTACTGCAAGAAGGTTGGGCATCCTTGGTTCAAGTGCTTCAGCAGGCTGGAGGGATGGGCACCTCCAGGCATGAAGCCGCCCAGTGGTGAACGCGCACAAGGTGGCGCTGTGCAAGGCTCAGGTGCACAAGGTGAAGGTGCACAAGGTAATGCCTATCCTGGTTTGTTTGTTATGGTTCAGGATGTGCATGGGCATGAGGGTGATGTGGGATCTGTGGGAAAGGTTGTGATGCACCCTCTCACGCACTGGGTGATTGATTCGGGTTGCACCAGTCACATGACTCCACGGGCAGATTTGCTTGATGAGGTAAAACCCCCTGGGAAGATTAAGTATGTGGCAGCAGCGTCAGGTGCTTTGCTCCCCGTGATTGGTGTTGGGAATGCCAAGGTTAAGGGAGCTAATGGGGAGCTTGTGGGGCTTGGGAATGTTCTGCTGGTTAAAGGCTTGTCTGCTAACCTTCTCTCTGTGCGGCGACTGCAGAAGAGTAAGGCCGAAGTGACCTTTGGACCAACCAGCTGCCGTGCTAAGCTTGGGAAGAAGGTGCTGTGGAGTCTGGAAGAGGAGACCAGCTGCATCAAGGACCTGTGGCAGCTGCCCATCATCCCTTGGAATGGGAAGACTCCAACAGCAGCAACGGCAGCAGTGGCAAAGGCAACAGCAGGAGGAGATGCAACTGCACCAACTGATGGGGTGCTGGAAGCAGTCAAGAAAGTGCAGAAGCAGCAGACACCTGGTGAGGTGCTTGCTGGTGTGGATGCGAGTGCGGCATGGGCTAAGGCTTCACCAAGGAGTGGAGAGGCCGATTGGGAGACATGGCATGAGAGGCTGTGTCATGTGAACTTCCCTATGCTGCAGAAGTTGGTGAAGGATGGGAGCCTGAAGGGCTTGGAGGTGAAAGGGGGAGTGAAGGAGATTGGGAGCTGCCCTACATGCTTGGAGACCAAGTTCTCCAAGTTCCCCTTCAACAGCACTACAGGACCAGCCAAGACCCCACTTGCACTTGTGCATATGGATGTGGTGGGGCCCACAAGAGCCCCTTCCCTCTCAGGCAGCCGCTATTTCTTGACAATTGTGGATGACCACACTCGGGCAGTGTGGGTTTACCCTTTGAAGAGCAAGGGGGAGGTGGCAGCGGCTGTCCTTAAGGAGTGGATGCCTAGAGCTCAGAGGGAATGCGGACACAAGGTGAAGGTGATCCGCAGTGACAATGGTGGGGAGTTCATTGGAGCTGATTTTGAGGGGGAGTTGAAGAGGAAGGGGATCCAACATCAACTGACAGTGCCCTACAACCCGCAGCAGAATGGCGTGGCTGAGAGGTTCAACAGGACCCTGCAGGAGGGGGCACGCACTCTCCTTGGGCGTGCAGGGCTGCCTGATCCGTTTTGGGTGTCTGCACTGAGGCAGGTCGCCCTTGTGAAGAACAGGGTGCTGGCTACAGTTGGAGATAAGGAGTGGATCCCATATGTCAAGTGGTATGGGAGTGCTCCAGCTGTGAATATGCTGAGGGCATTTGGGTGCATGGTAGTGTTTCATGTGCCCAAGGAGAAAAGGGGGAAGTTGGAGGCTTCTGGAAGATGGGGTGTGCACTTGGGGATTGCAAAGGATCACAAGGGGTGGCTGCTATGGGACTTGACCACCCAGAAGTTGACAGTGTCAAGGGATGTGAAGTTTCTTGAGTCCCTGTACTACAAGGAATGGAAGCAGCAGCAACAGAAGCTTCCATCTACACCGCTCATTGTGGAGGCAGATGAGGTGCAGCACCCTTCAAGACAGGTGGAGGTTGCAGTGTCAGAGGAGGAGATGTCTGGGGTGACTGAGGAAGGGGGAGCAGCTGAAGTAGAGCAGCAGCAGCAGCAGCATGAGTCTCCACCTCGAGTTCCACACCCGCCTGAGCGTCCTAGGAGGGATGTGCGCCCTCCAGTGAGGCTGACCTATGGGGGAAGAGGCAAGCCAAATGTGGTGCAGGCTGGGAGTGTGGTTGAGCAGATTGAGGAAGATGAGATCGCTCACTGCTACTGGGCACCAATCCCTGAGCCCAAGACTCGAGAGGAGGCTTTGAATGGACCAAATGGGGAGAAGTGGAAGGCGAGTGAGGATGAGGAGTTCGGGTCCCTAATTGAGAACGAGACATGGGACCTGTGTGACTTGCCTCCTGGAAAGAAGGCAATCACTTCCAAGATGATCTACAGGCACAAGTATGGACCTGAAGGGGAGCTGACCCGCTACAAGTCTAGGCTTGTGGCACGGGGGTTTCAGCAGACAAAGGGAAGGACTATGATGAGGTATTTGCTCCTGTGGGGAAAGGAACAACACTGAGGGTGCTGTTGGCGATAGCTGCACTCCTGGGATGGAAGATACGGCAGATGGACATTGTGACTGCCTTTCTGAATGGGATCATTCTGGAGGAGGTGTACATGAAGCAGCCAGAGGGGCTGGATGACGGGAGCGGCAGGGTCTGCAGGCTGAAGAAGGCCATCTATGGCCTTAAGCAGGCGCCTCGTGCATGGTATCACAAGTTGGAGGAGGCGCTGTTGGCTGGGGGTTTCAAGAAGAGTGAGTGTGACCCCAGCCTGTTCCTGCTGCAGGAGAAGGATGAAATCCTCATGCTCTTGGTGTATGTGGATGATATCCTTCTCTTTTCTGCATCAACTGCTTTGCTGGACAGCGCAGAGCAGATGCTGGAGATGCAGTTCAAGTGCTCCAAGATGGGTGAGGTGAAGTACTACTTGGGGATGCACGTGGAGAGAGATGTGGAAAAGGGTGTGCTGAGGTTGCACCAGAGGAAGTACTGTGAGGGGCTGGCTGAGAAGTATGGGCTGCAAGATGGGGGAAAGCCAGCAACACCACTACCTTCAGGGTTTACTGTGGAGCCATGTGCTGATGAGGAGGTAGTGGGTGATAGTGACAGGAAGCTGTTTCATTCGATGGTTGGGTCGCTGAATTATGCTGCAAATCATACACGGCCTGACATTGCATTTGCTACATCACGATTGGCTAGTGTGGTCTCACGCCCTAGTCATGAGCAGCTGGAAGCGGCCAAGAGGTTGGTCCGCTATGTGAGCGCTACGGCATCAGTGGGATTGGAGTACAGTGGAGTGAGGCAGCGGTTGCAGAGAGGTGCTGCAGATGTGAAGAGTGGAGAGATGCTCTTGAGTTGCTATACTGACGCTAGCTTCAACTCAGTGAAAGCGGATGGCACCAGCATTGGGGGTTATGTGTGCTTGCTAGGAGGTGGTGCTGTGAGCTGGCGCAGCAAGAAGCAGAATGAGGTGGGATTGTCCTCATGTGAGACTGAGTACATGGCCTTACACCATGGGGCCAAGGAAGTAGTGTGGCTAAGGCGTTTGTTGGAGGAGTTGGGAGTTGGTCAGGAGAAGCCGACAGTTGTGTTTTGTGACAATGAGTCCGCTGTGAAGCTCGCCAAGAATGCTTGTCTGCATGGGCTGACAAAACACATAAGGCCTAAGTGGCATTGGGTGAGGAGACTCCTTGATAAGGAGGTGCGGCTGGAGATAGTGAAGACCCATCAGCAGGCAGCAGATATTTTCACCAAGCGTCTGGCGGAGGCGGATCATTGGAAGGGCATGAAGCTTGCTGGGATGAGTGTGCATTGAGTATGCATGCTTGAGATGTTGGTATGGTGGATGATGGTTGGCAGCCAGAGGGGGAGATTGTTGTGTGATGTCATCATATGCTATCACATTCTGTCTGCCTCCCATCCCATATTTTTTCAACTTGCATGTGTGGTTTGAACGTGTGCAAGAATTTGTGTGTGATGTGTTCTGGAGTTTGGGAATGTGTTTTGTGTTATTTTGTTTGAGCAGGTTTTTTGTGATGATAGATCTTGAGAAGATCTTTCCGACGCAACGAGAATCCCTTCAATCGGAGCAAGAACGCGAAAGCTATGAAGATTCAAAGTTCATGAGCTTGCGTTACAATTGCGGCGGTTACAAAGTGAAGTTGTGGGGTGACTCTATATGGAGTTGGGACCTTTGGGGGTTTGGGAAATTTGTCACTCACTGTAACAGCTGCAAATTGGTTGGGAACAACCAAGCTAGGTTGGCAAGGGTGGCCAACTTGGATGGATTGGTTGGGAAGGGACAAATGTCAAAGTTGGGGTTCCTATAGGGAGGGAATCTTTGTGCTTATGGGGTTTCCTTGGTTGGGGACTCTCTTGGGACCTTCCCTCTCATCCCTCTCTTCCTATCCCAACCTTTCTCTTGCTCCTTCTAATTCCTTGTGAGATTCTTGAACTTTGATTGAACCTTTGAGATTGAGTTAAGTTCTCCTCCTACAGCTTACCCCCTAGTGCGTCGAAAGCCATAGCGTCGCGAATACTTTATCAATCAACGTGATTCAAATTGGGAACGGTAGCTGAGATCAAGAGCTACAACATATCCAAGTTTCGCGACATTCCAACGGCTAGTGTTTTGTCGACGTCGTTTCTTGTGAAGACGACTTTTCTGTCCAGAATTTCGGATTTATATTTTGAGTAATTCTAGCTCCTAAGTTCACCTAGACTCTGTCCTTAATTCTAACAATTTCGCACCGTGCCATATGAAATTAATTCAATTACAAGCACCCCCCAAATTTTGACTATAATCCCTATACGCACCTAGTGGCGTATATCCGAAGGGAATACGGTAGCGGCCATCCCGGATAGATTTGCCCTTTCGTGTCAAACGTTTTCGTTTTTTGTGCGTTTGTGCGATCTGCTGTGGCCCAATTAGCTTATGTGGCACAAATGCGCAAGGTCTCAATTTTGTAATTTTGTGTGTGCGACGTCCAACGATTTTTTAATTGGGAATACTTAACGTATTTCTCTCGAACTACGCCTGTAGCTTGGGAAAAATATCGCGCCAGCCGCAATGATGACGAAATTGGGCTGGCGCGAGCGGGAAAACGTTCAAAGACGAACGGGGATTACTTCTACTGACCATTTGTGGAACTTTATTCCTGTTGTTTCTGTCTAACGGTGGAACCTGACAGATGAAACTGTCCACTTATACATATGCTGTATGTAGAAGTTATAGGCTAGCCTAGGTGTGTGCTTCTAGTGAGTACTACCCCAACAGGTATATGTTCTAGGTTTCTCACACTAGTAATTCATTCTTGCATTCTAACATGGTATCACGAGTAGGTTAGGTCCACCCGCCCGCTTCCTCCCGCGCCCTAGCCTCTCCCCCCCCTACCTAGCCCTCGCGCCCACCCGGCCCATAGCGCCCGCCCGGCCCTTAAGTGCCCGCCCGGCCCGTCGCGCCCGCCTGGCCCCGTCGCGCCCGCCTGGCCCCTCCGTGCCACCCTGGCCCCTAGCGCCCGCCCGGCCCGAAGCACCCGCCCGGCCCACAGCGCCCGCCTGCCCATAGCACCCGTCGCGCCCACCTCGCCCGTAGCACCCGCCCGTCGCGCCCGCCCGGCCCGTCGCATCCGCCTGGCCCCGTCGCGCCCGCCTGGCCCCTCCGCGCCACCCTGGCCCCTAGCGCGTGCCCGGCCCGTAGCACCCGCCCGACCCACAGCGCCCGCCTGCTCGTAGCACCCGTCGCGCCCCCCCGCCCAGTAGCACCCGCCCGTCGCGCCTGCCCGGCCCGTCGCACCCGCCTGGCCCCGTCGCGCCCGCCTGGCCCCTCCGCGCCACCCTGGCCCCTAGCACCCGCCCGGCCCCTCCTAGCGCCCGCCCGGCCAGTTGCGCCCGCCCATCCCACAGCACCCGCCCGGCCCCTTCTAGCGCCCGCCCGGCCCATCCTAGCGCCAGCCCGGCCCCGATACGCCTGACCGGCTCCTGCGGCCCGCAGCTCCCAGTGCACGCCCGGCTCCTGCGGCCCTGTGTCTTCTGCTTGGCACGGTTCCTCGAGTCTCCGGCCCTGTGTCTTCTGCTTGCCCGCGTTGGAGCATCTTGCAGACGTCCTCCTGGAGCTGTGTTGATGTGTCCCTGTACCGCTGTATCCTGTGGAGCTGTGCCGTTGTGTCCCTATGTCGCTGACCCTGCACAATGGCTGACTTCGTCCTCCGCCTGGACGCTCAGGGCCACGCGGTTAACTTCGCCGCCTGGCTGTCCGATCTCCGCCGTCAACTCACAGGTCAGCACCAGGATGGGCACTCCTTGGTTGTCCATGCTGATGGCTTGCTGTTGCACCTCCCCCACTGTCTAACTACCTCCGTGCCGCTCGTCCCCTTGTCCCTCGGGTCCTTGCCTCTCTTGTTACAGGCCCGTCTGTTCCTGTTTCGCGCCTTGACGCGCTTGTCACTGCTGTCGCTGACTTCGCCTCTACCCGCCGCCTTGACTACACTACCACTCTGGTCTCTGACCCTACCCGTCCTCCGTCCGTCGGGGGTGCACCTGCCCTTGGCAGTGACGTTCTAGAGGACAGGCAGTACGCGCTTGCTTTCCTTTCCGAGGCCGCTCCCCATCTCTGCTCCATGCTCCTAGTCCCAGAGGGTGACCCAGATGCCTTCGACATCCCGACCCCTCGCACCTACGCTGAGGCCACCTCGGGACCCTGGACCTCTCAGTGGATAGCTGCCATGGAGCAGGAGATGGAATCTTGGAGGTCCACCGGCACTTGCGTCGACGCAGTTCCCCCTTCTGGGGTGAACGTAGTCGATGGTCGGTGGCTCTTCAAGGTGAAGCGCCTCCCTGGAGAGCCGCCTGTCTTCGAGGCGCGCTACGTGGCTAGAGGCTTCAGCCAGCGTGAGGGGGTGGACTTCTTCCAGACCTTCGCCCCGACCCCGAAGATGACTACTATTCGGGCACTGCTACACATAACAGCACAGCGCGACTACGAGCTTCACTCCCTCGACTTCTCTACTGCCTTTCTTCAGGGCAGCCTACACGAGCAGGTCTACCTGCGCCGACCACAGGGCTTCACTGGTACCTTCCCCCCTGGGACGCAGTGGCTTCTCAGGCGCCCGGTCTACGGCCTGCGCCAGGCTCCCCGCGAGTGGCACGACACGCTGCGTACCACGCTAGCAGACCCCTCACTTTTTGTGCGTTCCGGCCATACTCCGTTCTACATCCTTGTCTACGTAGACGACCTGGTCTCCGCTACTGCTGAGAGGGACGCACTGGCCTCCGTGAAGGCCGAGCTGCTGAAGAGACACACCTGCACTGACCTTGGAAAGCTGCGTCGCTATCTCGGCCTTCAGATCTCCAAGGACAGAGCAGCACGCACCATCACTCTGACACACTCACACTTGGTGCGCCAGGTCCTTCAGAGGTTCGGTCTTTAGTTCTCCTCCGCACAACCCACACCTCTACTTGTAGACCATGGGCTCTCCGCTCCCGTTCCTGAGGAGCCAGTAGAGCCCAGCCGCCCCTACGCAGAGCTGGTAGGTTACCTCATGTACCTGATGACTTGCACTCGCCCAGATCTCGCATACCCTCTCAGCATCCTGGCTCGCAAGGTGGCCACCGGCAGACACCGACCACAGCACTGGTCAGCCGCTAAGAGGGTTTTGCGATATCTAGCAAGTACATCGGGCATGGGGTTAGTGCTTGGAGGCCGCAGGCCAGTGGTTCTCACTGGGCACATAGACGCTTCTTGGGCAGACGACTCTGAGACTCTCAAGTTGTCTCAGGGCTACTGTTTTAGCCTTGGTTCGAGTGCTATCTCTTGGAGATCCACTTGCTCGTCGTCTGTTGCTCAGTCCAGGTGTGAGGCTGAGATCTACGCCGGTGCCATGGCGGCACAGGAGCTCCGCTGGCTTACCTTCTTGCTCACAGACTTAGGTGAGCGGCCTAGCTCTGCCTTGATCCTGTACGCTGACAACAGGGCCATGATTCTCCTGTGCCAGGAGCCTCGAGTAGAGGGCAGAGCGAAGCATATCCAGCTGCGGTACTTCCTCCTGCGCGAGCTACAGTAGCGTCGCCAGGCCCGCGTAGTTCACTTTGCCTCTGGTGCCAACACAGCTGATATCTTTACTAAGGCGCTTGGGCCTAAAGATCATCAGTGGCACTGTGTACAGCTTGGTCTTGTTACTGTAGCTACTCACTTGTTATGACCCTGATTGTGTACTCTCTACTATATATACCTGGCTGACTGGCCTTAAGGCCTTGCCTCCAATGGCTGGACTAGTAGTGCCGCCCTAGTTTGGTTTTGTCTTGTTTGTACTCTTGCTGGCTGGTCTCTGGACCTCTGCCTCAGTGGTTGGACTAGTAGTGCCACCCTGAGCTGTGTGCTTCTTGCTTAGCACCACCCCTTCTCTAGCCTAGGGGGTGTGTCAACTTATACATAGGCTGTATGTAGAAGTTATAGGCTAGCCTAGGTGTGTGCTTCTAGTGAGTACAACCCCAACAGGTATATGTTCTAGGTTTCTCACACTAGTAATTCATTCTTGCATTCTAACAGAAACATGTTGCGAACTCGCTAATTCTGATTGTTTGTATTGTGTCACTGACCGTACATGTTATCGAGGCCCCTAATACAAAGCGCCGATATACTTACCCGGCAGAGATTCGAGAATTTGTGCCCACACTTTGTTCTCTGTTGTGATGAAAGCCCTTGTCCATATTTCAAATTGCTCCTAGCAGATCAAGGTGGCTGAACTTAAAATACTGTATCGGAATTCTCGTAATATCGAGCCTTCCCTTTGTGTCGACTGTGCGACGGATTTCCCGGTAGTGTGGGGCGCGTGTAAAGTGGAACACAAACGAACGGACGAACGGAGCCGCCGCTCAATTGTCCAATCGCGTAGAAGGAACGCTTTTAAGAATGGAGAACCGTATCATTTCGGGAACAGCCCGCGGTCAGAACTGGCATGTCGCCAGAATTTTGCGAAATCCAGCCCATTTGCCAATTCTGCTCACGACGAATCTTGCGACTTTATTCACGAATCTCCACGACACACAATGGGTTTCGTACCACACTTCCCTAGTTCATGTGGTAAGGTGGTCGACACAGGAGTAAAGATGGAGTAACATGTGTCGTTGAGTCTAGGCGGCATCGCTTGTGTCGCTTGCCTCGTTAGTATCGATTCTTGACAATTCCGAAATATTCAGGAACACGAAAACTCCGGCGGGCAGAACGAACGGACGAACGGAGTATATGGACGGACGAACGGAGCCGCCGTTCCTACATTACACGCGCCCTAACTACACAGTGTAGCACTGGCGAGTTGGCTATCAACTTGCTAGCCATAAGGCTTTCAACTACTGTACATTATAGCTGAAGTTGTTCGTACAGCATAGGAAGGCTACTATGTACCTGCACTCCATATTTCTGGTCCACGAATTTATGCTTGAAGCTTGGGACACACATACGTATTGCTGAGTTCGGGCCGTGCGAGGGTAAGATTTTATCGCATATATCACAAAAAAACCCTTGACCGAGTACTTCACAAGTATCGAGTACCAGTTTATCAAGTACCGAGCACCCGATATCGACCGCCAAGTGCCGAGTATCGAGTTCCGCGCATTGCGCGTGGGCCATCCGGCATGGTGTTCATTTCGCTGCTGGAGCCCACACCCGACGACGCCAAGCGATGCTGCCAACTCACACGGTGACCCTAACGCTTCCTCCCACTTCACTCCCCCCTCCCCCCGCGCTCCCCCACCAACTACTCCCCTGCACCATCTCTCCTTGCTATGTTACCCTCATCCGCTTCCTTCTCTATCCCCCCATCTTTCTTTTTGCCCCCACAACCCAAACCCCCCTCTTCAGATTGCTCCCTCTCAACTACCCTTCACAGCTAGTGGGCGTCACTAGGGGCGGGCTGGCAGCGGTTACCAGGGCTGTGAAGGCATGGGAAGGGGGGGTCGAGGGGAGGGAGGAGGGGACGCAAGAGCAGCCGACAGGCGAAAGCAGCGGCAGCGACGGCAATGGCAGCATCAGGAGCGAGAATTTGGGGAGCAGCAATGGCAGTAATAGTAACAGCAGAATCGGTATCAATAATCACAAGAGCATCATTAGCAGCAGCAGCAGTGGCGCCAACGGCAGCACCGGAAGCAGAGGCAGGGGTGCAGTGGCAGGGAGGCGGAGAAGGGAGTGGTGGCGGGTGGACGGAGGAGCGTTCAGGTGCCAGCACACGTGCGAGAAGGTGGGCCGGGGGAACAAGGCCTTCCACGAGTGCCAGCGCCTCTTGGGGACATGGAGGTATGTGCCACTAGCCGCCTTGCTCTCTATCTCTCTCTCTCTCTCTCTCTCTCTCTCTCTCTCTCTCTCTCTCTCTCTCTCTCTCTCTCTCTCTCTCTCTCTCTCTCTCTCTCTCTCTTCACCCATTCTTGCAGCACCCCCTCCATCATACCCTGCATCCCAGCTGCTCAATACCATCCTTCTCACCCTCTCTTCCCTCACTAGGCACTCTCTCCCGGCCCATCTTTCCCCCCCCACCAGTCACTTCAATGTGGGGTGGACGTGGGCCCTCTCCGTCCCTCCACCATCCACCCATCCCTCCAAAAGCAGCAGCAGCACCCCCACCAGTGCCATTCGCGGGAGCACGGGCCACAGCAGGTCAAGTGTAGCTGCCTCGTCTGCTCTCCCTCCTCCCCGCTCCCTTCGCCTCGCATCTGTCGGGGATGCCGTTTGTGTCACAGCTCGCTCGCTCTTCCTCACCCCCCCATGGACCATGAACCCGCTCCGCGTCATCTTCACTGACACCTTCCCTCCTCTCTCCCCTCCTCCTCTCACACCGTCTGGCTCTACATCCGCCCTCTCTCCATCCACCACCACTACCATCGCGGGCTCCTCCTCCGCTCCTTCTGCAGGACCCAACCCTGCCTCCACCATGCCCCCCGTGCCGCGTCGCACTCTTTGCAGCATACACTGTGGGCAGCGGCACGGTCCAAGGCCACTTCCTGGTCAGTCTCGCACACCCCCTACCCAAAGCCCATGCCCAGGCCCATGACCGTTCCGATTACAAGTTAGCTATTATCACGTGCCCATGTCTGTGCCGTGATCATGAGCCATCCTCGCTGCCCCGTATCATAACATGGCCCGGTCAGACGTTACTGGCTGATGCCTCTGAGAGCAAGTTCTTGCAAGCGTTCCCAACGGTGGTTGGGAGTGGTGCCCACACAAAATCCCCTTAATTTTGCATTTCCACTGATCCCAACCACTGTTCCATACGCTTGGAGGAATTCACTGAGTCACTGACACGTCATATGCCATTGCACTATTTGTCATTTGCCATTGCACTATTGGTCTGCTACCAAGAGCTTTTCAAACCAAGACCTTCCCCTGTATCTCTCTACCCATCAACAGTTCAATGTCTCTTACTCCTCCCCTCCTCTCTCTCTCCCCCCCCCCCCACATCTGCGCACCACGTGTTTGTACCGTATCAGGAGGGTGAGGAGCGGTTTCTAGTTGGAATAGACTCCAACAAGGACGTGTGGTTCTAGGTTCTCTCCATATCGCGCCCTGCTAACCCACTCGCCCTCGCCTTTTCTCCTCTTGCTCAGTTCTTGCAACATAGATTCGCCCAAGATGCTCTAGGCTTGATAAGAGGGCATTTGCAAGTTGAAAATTCTAGTTGAATGTAGTGAAGATAATAACCTTGAAATAGGTTTAACGGAAGATAATGTTTTTTTCGAGCATTCTACATTGTATTGTTTGCAGGTGGCTCCAATTTCAATTGTATGCTGCTTGCAAATAGCATTTGTCGTTGCATAAGTCATATGATTGCAGTACCTACATCTTCTCGTCGATCCTGCCAGCATGCCACTCCTCAACATCACTCCCATCTGCCAGCTCATCCCACCAGTGGCTGTTATCATCCTCTTCAGCAATGCCTTCAGCCAGCCACTCCACACTGTCTTCAGCTCGTTGTGCTTCTGCTGCTGTCTCTGCCTCTGCAGTAGAGAGGTCGGCATCCTCTGCTACTGCCGCTGCTGCTGCCGCTTCATCCATGTCGCCATCGGCTTCTGCTGCCGCCGCGGCATCATGCTCCTCGTCGTCGGCTAAGTCCTCGTCGACGTCGATCGTGCGGTCATACAGAGGGTTCACGTAATCGCTCTCACCCTCTTGAACATGGACGTCGTCCATGACTTCCACGCCCGGCTTCTCGCGGAGGTGACGGAGAGCCAACTTGTCCTCGGAGCCATCCAACGCGTTCGAGATCCCACAGGTCTTGAACGAATTCCGTATGAGCTCCTGCCGCCCATGACCGTGCAATCCATTTGAGAATGAGCTCCGCTGGGGTTTTTTTCAGATTTCCTGCAGAGGGAGCGGTGGCGGTCAACGGCAACAAATCAGCGTTTAGAAAGCGATGAATAACATTAACAATGTTCAGATTAGTGTACGAAGCATTAAACGAAGCAGCGGGAACATGAAGTGGGTTCACCTGCTGCTGTTTTGAGGTCGATGCCAAACTCCTCGAACCAGGTGCCGTAGTCGCTACGCACACCAGCTTTGAAGCTCTTGTTGACTGCAACATCCAGCGGCTGCACGAGAGGCGTGCAGCCTCCAGGGATGACTGCACGCGTCAGCTTGCACAGCTTCATCGTTTGTCCGACCGCCTCTATGAGGTGCCCCTTGTAGGAGTCGAGGTTGACAAGCGCATCCTTGCGCTTGTTGCCGGCTTCGCGCAGCGGCCGAAGTTTGGGGTTCAGGACTTGAGTAGTCCAGTCTTGGACTAGCTTGTCGTCCATCCAGCCCTTATGCTGGGCTCGGATGATGACACATGCATGGACCCAAACACCACAGGCAGAGAGACAGTCAACAGACGATGGTGTGGAGCAATCAAGGAATCCGCCAGAGTTCAGAATCCCTACCTGGGGGAACCAGAATCTTCGGCAGGGTCTTCCGTTTGAAGATGACATATGGCGGGAGTTTCATTCCTGAGGCTGTGACCGCCAACATGATGGTCAAGCGCTCTTTCTCGTACCCGGTGGTCCTTACGTGTACTGTCCGCGAACCTTTGTGCTCCAAGGTCCTTTCCTGTGGCATCTCAACGAAAAGCGGAGTTTGATCCGCATTGACAATGAGGTCGAGATTGTAGCCGTTGAGCAGTCGCATTTGCTTGACGAATTCCCAGAACTTGTGGACTTTCTCCCGCATGTCTGCATTAGACAAAAACAAAGATAGAGAATTAGTCGGGAATTGTCGTAAAACAAACATGCACTATTCAACAGGATTGGCGAGATGGGAAAGCAAGCGAACCATCGGCGAGCTTCTGCCCCATCTTCGTCTTCACACGTCGTGTCAGCCCAAATCGCACGCGGAATCTGAAGGTCCAGCGGGCGGACGCGCGCCACTCGACATCAGGATGGCGTGCCCTCATGTACGAGCAGCTCCACTTCTGCATGAGCTTCACGGAGACAGCCAGGCCCTTCCCTCGATGCCACAGAAACTGACGGTAGAGAGCCGCTTCCATCGTCAGGAACTTCGCTGGACGACCTACGCCAACGAGCCGCTTTCGAAAGCTTGCAGCGACACGGAGTCTCTCCCATGCCTTCTTCCACTCTCGAATCATGACAAGCTGCACACCTGCGAGCTTGGCCAACGAACGGATGGAGAGGTCAGGCTGAGAGTCAAACATTCCTAACCAGTACAATTTCTCCGAAGCGCTGTACGAGCGGCGTTTCTGCTTCGTCATCCTGCTTCGAGGAGAGGGGGGGTTCGCGTCATGGTTGATAGTCGGGCCATTTGGACGGCGGAAAGGCATGGGGAAGCTTGGCACAGTGACACGGGGCAGGGGACGCCGACCCTCCGTCGCGTCGGTCGCTGAGTCTGTGGCGGTGTTGTCGCCCTCGCCAGATGTGCGACTTGGGCTCAGAGGGGGCGACGATACTGTCGGGCGGGATGGACGGTGGAAGAATGCCTGCTGACCGTAAGGGCCTCTCTAAGATAGCACACGCGACATGCCTGTGCCATACGCCATGGCGGGAGCCTCTAACAGAAACCGAGTGGGGTGCCTGAGACAGCCCTTGCAGGGGCTGTCTTGTAGGAATTCTGCTGCTGAATGGCGAAATGAGGCAAAAAGGTCAGGTAGACCCACTTCAAGAACGGGATGGAGGGGAAGGAAGGGACGTGCACGACTCCTCGTCCCTATCGATCACGAACAGCCCCTTCGCGAGCGTCCAGCGTACGATTTTGTGCGATGGACGGTCGTGGGTGGGCCCTGAATGGAATCTCCCCTTGGATGTCGTCAAGCAACGCTGTGATGGCACAGCGCTGCATGGAAGCAGCTAGGATGAGGCCTGCGGCACGCGTTCATTGGCTGATTTGCCAGCATTTTCCGTGACTCAGCTGGTTTAGTCAATGACGTGGCTTGTATATGGACCACATCGTCAGTTACGCGATGAGGTCACGGAATGTCGATATCTGACTCAGTACAAAGTGGTGTAACAAGCAGAAACATTTTGCAATTGGAAAACTCATATGCACGTTCCATAGAACCATGGTGTTATATTTTTTTTGCCTTTAATTCCACCCACCCCAAAATTTTCATGAATTTTATTAGCTCCCTAGGGTACTATATCCGGGAGAATACGGTAATTCCAACACGATCATGCAATCTTGAGAATGGAAACGGAAATTTGTCCAGTCGATGGATAATTGCGCGGCTCGACCTCCTCTCCCGTCCTCCCATAAGGGCGGGTTCAAATAGTTCACTTCGGGTTCGGGACACGGTTTTACGAACCCGGGTACAGATCCATGAAACGACTCCGAATTCGTAAACACCAGAAATTGTGTCCCCGTTCGCACGTAGCACACAAGCGGGACGCCGATTGTCGAGATTTGAGAAAACCGAACGGCGCGCAACGGCCCAAAACGCAGTTACCAAATGTATACCTGCGCGACACATCTGTTTCGCAGCGCGTAAAATACAACAGGCGGGGAAAATCACGAGCCACACGTGAGAGAGAGACTCAACTCGCGGCGGATTCGGCCGCGGATGTGGTCCGGCGTCGCGCGCGCAGATGTGTTCACGACGTCGCCTGATCGTCGCCACAGCCAGCGGGGCGAAATCCAGGCGTGACACACTTGGAACCCCATCCCCAAATCTTGCACCTCACGGCTTTTTTACGTTACCAATCCGAAATCTGGTACATGGCCCTTCGCACGTGAGGGGTGTCCCACGTTACTCGTCAGTTTCTTTCGTGTCCTGGCGAAACATTTAACAAGGTGTTACTTGTTCAAATCCGGTTACTATTCACGAAATGAATAGAGTATGAACTCTTTGGACCCGCCCTAATGCCACTCGCCAATGCACACATTCAAGCGACTCGAGGAGCCATCCGCCATCAAACCTTGGCCCATCTTTCCAGCCGAATCCTTGGGTGGTGGTGGGACAGGGCGCACGGCCTTGTTCAGTAGCAAACTACAGCATACTACAGCGCTGCTGCCGCGCGATTTGACAGTCGCCCTCTCCGCAACTCCCGGCCCTTTCAGAGCCAGCCTTAGCAGCCACTCCG